AAACCGACAGACGTCTTCCTCCACAGGAGCTCAGTGAGACGGTGCCGGGCGTCAATCATCCTTCAGCGTTTTTGTTCAAAGTGAAATGTGCAGCAGCTGATCCTGCATAAAAACCTGTCAAATATTTTGACACATGACTGACGAGTGCAGGTCGAGACGGTTTTTTTTTTTTTCCACCGACAAAGTTGACACCAAACACTGCAGCCGTGTTCTTTCCTTCTGTTTCGTGACATCAGCAGAAAATCAGAGCTGACGGAGGTTAACCTGCAGCCGGAGCCTCCAACAACAGCGTTTATTCTTCTGAGGACGTTCATCACGACGCCATGAAAATGTAATTACACTTGTGTCATTCTGTGTTAAATGGACAGAGGCCTCTTGCAAATGATGTCTTTTTCAGTTTGTGTCTTATTTCTCTAAGACACGGAGGCTTCAATAAACATCTTTCTTCTCTTCATCAGTGTCTCGCTTTGGTTTTAAGACGTTCAGTTTTAATTGTGCATTCAATCTTTGTGCCGACACAATTTAAAGCCTCGCAAATCAGAAATGTTTCCTTTTCATTTATAAAACACTGAAACCAAAGCGTTGTATGGTCAAATTCAACAGAGTGTGAAGATCCAAAGAACATTTGTACATAGAACCAACTTTCACCATTTTTATCATTTCAAGACATTTGATAATGAGGATCTGCAGAAAAACAAACTTTAACTCTGTTCATCTGAACCACGCTCACCTGCCATCCCATCAGCCTCTCTGGCTCCCGACAGGTAGTGCTCCTTGCGGTGATGCGGCTCGCCCAGTTTGAAGAGATCCTCCAGTCGCAGGAACTGACACACGCCCTGCCAGATGGAGCCGCACGCCACCAGCCTGTTCCCCGTGTAGTCCACCAGGAGGAGCTTGTTCACGTTATCTGACGACTCCAGCCTGAGGACGGACAGGTGAGGGGTTAGACGGGTTAGAGAGGTGTAGTGAGGTGAGACAGGTGAGACAGGTGAGACAGGTGCACACAGACCGGTGAGCGCAGGCCCTGACGCTGGGCGGGGGGTAACACTTGGCGTTATCTTCCACAGGTCCGGTCATGTGACTCCTCAGCTCCGTCAGATTGGCCGACAGCTTCAGGACTCGGTTGACGGCGCCGACGAACACCTCACCCGTCCGCCGGTGGACGGTCAGGTGGGTGAGGGAGGTGTCGAACGCCCGGTACACCGCCCGGCCCGACGCCGCGGAGGCAGGGGGGGGAGCAGCCGGGGCAGAGAGGAGGGGGGAGGAGAGGAGGAGGAGGGTGAGGAGGAAGAACAGGAGGAGAGGAGAGGAGGAGAACATGATGGATAAAGAGAGGAGGAGGAGGAGAGGATGGAGGGAGAGAGAAGGAGAGGAGGGGAGGAGGAGGAGAAAGCTGGCTGCAGGTCTGACGAAGAGTCGGCTCAGTTGATCATGACTGCGGAGAAAGAGAGAAGAAGAGCGTCAGTGAAGAAGAGGAAGAGGAGGAGGAGGAAGGTTTAACTCGTTGAACGACGTCGGCACATTAACACAAGTGAACACACACTTCTTCTTCTTCTTCTTCTTCTTCAGTCCAGGAGAAACTCTCACAGTGACGTTAACGATAAAAACACTTTTAATCTGAACGTGTGAATTTAATACTTTTCTTATATTCGGTAAATTGAATCTGTGTTTTCTAACCGATGATTCGAACGTGGATGTTTTGCTGCAGGAAAAGA